ACGCCGTGTTGCTTCAAGCGCATCATTCTGCACACCGGATGCGCACATTGTAAGTGCTTCGTGCTCATAGACTGTATAAAAACAGTTCGTGCTGCACTGTATTTGTTTTGTCCTATCGTATCTATCATATGTTGTTGCCTTATTAAAAAATATGCTATACATTTAAAAGAAATGTATTTTAATTGTATAGTATATACTTATATATAAATACATTCATGAATGTTTTTAATGAATGGATTTTATAATAATACAAATAGCAATGTGTAACATTTTACCATATTTAGTGCAACACTTTTATGTGTTCCCCACAAAATACAGTTTTTTCACTAAATGTTTGGATTTCTAAAATTATTGTGCACTGATTTTTCTAGAATAACTGTTGCTGCTGAATTAGCCACTAACCTAGTTTATGATACATTTTTGTCATAGATTATAAATATACATAGGCCTATATTTTTTCATATTTGTTTATTTTATTTTTCTTTATAATGAAGTAGTCTGTATCTAGTAGATTGTGAAAGGATGATTATCAGTTCCACACACAGAGATATATAAATTCTACATTTATTTAAAATGTAAAATTTATCTTCACTGGTATCGGATCGGTATCGGTATCGGCCAATTCCGAACCCTAGGCATCGGAATCGGAGGCGAAAAAGGCAGATCGGAGCATCCCTAAACAAAACACACAAAAGCAGTCCAAGTTTTCAGAAAGCATTCACTAGCTTTGTGTCATGACTTTTCACATGTCAAATGAACTATTTTTATCATATTTCTATGGTGTTTTATATGGAAGCTTGTTTCCACCATGGGATAAAAATGAATGAAATTGTGACTTTTTATCTTACAATTCTGAGAAATTGCAAGAAAACAAGAAAATTGTAAGATATAAACTTGCCATTCTAAGGGGAAAAAAGTCTCTAAAGTTTTCCTCCACATGAATAAAAATAACAGAACACAGGTTTGGAACAAGATGAGAATGAGTAAATACTGACAGTGTTAAGAACGTGTGCTTTGAGCTAGTTTACATGTTGAATTTCCTTCATATGCTGGATTGGGTGACCAGTGATGTACATCCAGTCTCTTGATTTCAGGGAGCCCTTCAGAAAGCTGTTGGTCCAGGGTCTGATAAAGGGGCAGACGTTCAGGGTGGCAGAGACCGGCCAGTACCTCACGAAAGAGGACATCGACTTCTCAGGTGTGTGTTTGTGTGTAAGAAGATATAAAGTACAGTATGTTGCCAACAGTTCTGGGGTTTGTGACGAATTCGTGAAATCTGGTTCATGCTAGAGTTTCATCTGTCTTAGAATCGGACTCTCGGACTGTTTAGAGGTCAGAAATTGCACATGACTCTGAAAACAAAGAATATGTAGGCCTATAGTTTTGGATATACTATTGGAATTAAAGGGATGGTTCACCCAAAAATGAAAATTCTGTCATTAAAGGTGGGGTAAGCGATTTCTGGTAGCCTTACTGCTGATTGGCTACAAGTTTGTTTTGCTATTCGGCCCGAATCGGTTTTCTAAAGTGTTTTTGAAAAATCGCTTACCTCACCTTTAATTGCTCACCCTCGTGTCGTTCCAAACCCGTAAGACCTTCGTTCATCTTCAGAACACAAATGAAGATATTTCTGATGAAATCCGAGAGCTTTCTGACCCTGCATAGACAGCAGTGCAACTGAAACAAATAGATTTAATTAATATGAGTAAACATTTTTGGGTGAACTATCCCTTTAAAGCCCCACCATCAGTTAAAAGAATCAGTCGTCTCATTGGTAAAGACACTAGCATCTCTTTTTACTCTATTATGTCTGAAAAATATAGGTAGCTTTGTTTCCTAGTAGACTGATAAAAATATGTGCACTCGGACTCCTGAAAATTGCATTAAGCCAGCCAATCTGACTTGAGTGTAAAATTGTGAGACAGCTTGTGCCAGTTTTGTGTGTAAAATGCATCAGTGCCGTGAACAGCCCTCCTCACATTTCTCACTCACTTCCTGTTTTGCTTTCTGTGGATACTGGATCTAAAATAGCCTTTTTTTTGTTGCCAGGCAACAAGGTAAACAGACTCGCAGGAGCATCTGAATTGGCTCCCAAAATTGCTTGTAATTTCTGTGATCTCAGCGATGGTTTTATAATGCATCTGTGTGTAAACACAGAGAAATGCTTATTATGGTAAACACAGCTGCGTCTCTTCCTGAGGATTCAAACATGCAAGATCACAAACACAAGCGATGTTAACTTCTCCATTGTTGTTCAGTCGTAGCGCAAGCAGGGCGTGACGGTTGGTCGGTGTGGTATCTGCCCCGCCCCTCCTCAACTGTGATTGGTTAGATGACTAAGAAGTCATTCTTCAACACTCAGTGCCTCTTCACGCTCCTGGCGTTTAAAAAAATCTCAGCGCTCCCATTGAAAACAATTGGAAAAAATACACTAGCCTCGGGTAAAAACGCTTTAGTGGCCTTACGGTCACTTTTGATCAAATAAATGCATCCTTGCTGAATAAAAGTATTATTTATTAGTTGCTTATAGGCAGCTATTGTGTCCGTTAGTTTTCTTCTTCTTCTTCTTCCTAAGTCTATGGCAGCCCATAGAACCAATTGTGGGAAAGTTATGAAATTTGGCACACAGATAGAGGACAGTCTCATCGTTGTCCACACTAAATTTGGAGTCTTTAACTCAAACTCTCTAGCGCCACCAACAGGCCAAATTTGCACTCATGTTTATGCTAATAACTTTTGAACCGTAGTCGTCTAGAAGCAAAATTCAGTTTTCCTCAGATTCCTTGGCTCATGCCGAGTCGAATGCACACAAACATTGAAATTTCTATGGGTGAAGATTTTTTGCAATTTTGAATTTTCCGAAAAATCTACTTTTTCGCACACATTCTAGATGGTTTGTCCGATTTTCACCAATATTGGCTCGGATCATCTTCAGAGCATTCTGTCAAAAAGTTATCAAGAGCTTTTTGATATGCTAAACCGTGTTAACGAATTTGACGAAGTTTGTGCAAAAATGGACTTGAGGTTATATCTTCGCAATCTTAGCAGATTCTGAACAAACTTGGTATGTGTTATAACAAGCAAGACCTGAAGGCGCATGAGTAGTTTCAGCACAGCACCACCTACTGGTTAGAAGATATACAAAATTGACATTTCTGCTTAAAACTTCTGACCAGTTTGGCCAAAAAATCATGAGATTATTCTCGTTAGATTTGGAACAGCATACCGAATCGAACGATACCGAATTTTTCCAATTTTTGGGCGTCGCCCATTTTGAGTTTTGTAGTAAGTTTAAACTAAAGGTTGTTGTTCCTTACAACTTACCAAAGATCCAGTGGTCCATGGATATATTGACATGCAGCCAGGAATCGTGTTTCCTGACATTTATATGTGCCTGATTTAGACGCTGGGGAAATACATAAAGCAAATTTGCCTGTGAACGCTTTATGTAAATCTAAATCTGGCTGGGTGATCACTTATATAAATGTTGTATACATATCGTCATATCGTCCAGCCCAAAAACGTATATAGTTTTTGTCAGTGTTTATTTAAAAACATCCAGTTTTGCAGAATATAAGATAAATATTTAATTGATGAGTTATCAATACAATATATAACAATATGATTTTACCACAAAATATCGACATAAAATGATAACTGCTAATCCGTGTCTGTTGTGCTAGACCCCTTAATTGCTGCTTGCAGCTATATATAAAAAAAAATTTAAAAAAACCTCCAAACTATTTTAGGTTATGTTACTACCAGCTGTCAACAGTAATGTGTCTTAGATCACATGACAGATGTTAACAGCAGATGTAAACAGGCCAAAATCACCTCTGGCAGGTCCGGAGCCCATTCAGAGGGACAGTGGCAGCCGACTGCAGGTCACATGGGAGAAGATGAGTAAATCCAAACAGAACGGGCTGGACCCGCAGGAGGTGCTGCAGCAGTACGGCCTCGACACCATGCGCCTCTACCTCCTGTACGCCGCTCCACCCGAGCAGGACATCTTATGGGACGTCAAGAGTGAGTAGAGTGATAAAACCGTTCCACCTCAGACACGTGACACTGAGGGCCCGTTCATGAGGGACATGTTCTAGTGATCCATCTGTTCTGTATTTTAATTGTAGGGTATGTAATCATGTGTCAGAACGCTATGTTGTGTCTCGGTGTTTTTTCACCCCCACATATTTAGGACACCATGTCAAATAAGAAATAGCTCAGCTTGAAACTATTTAGACAGTTTTAAAGTAGTCAGATAAATCTGGTGGTGAGATACATATGACATATTTACATATAGACGTAAGTGCATCGGGTGTTTGTGGGTGACATGAAATTCTTTTGGGAAGTTCAGATGCCCTAAACTAGTGGTTTTCAACCTTTAAGCCCCTCATTTTCCAAGACAATATTTTTAATTGTTTTACATTTTAAAATATTTAACATTTTATTTTGATACATTTTTTTTTACTATTTTAATTATATTAAAATAATAAGTTATTTTTAGTACTATTTTTGACTCACGAATAGCAATTTCTCAGCGGTTTCTATTACTTTTTAAAAAATATTTTATTGCAATTTTTAACAAAAATTTTTTTTATTAATGTTGTATCATTTTAATTATTTTAAAATAATAAATTAGAAATAAAATAGAAATAAGTAAAATAGTAATACATAATTTCCATAATTGCACAAATGTTCAGGGTTCACACTCTTTATGACCAGTGAATTTACATGGATTTTTTTCAGCTGCTCATTATTACAGGATAAGAATTTCATTCATTCATTCATTCATTCATTCATTCATTCATTCATTATTTTGACCCAATAAAATATTTTAGAGCTTGACATAACTACAAAAATGTGTAGCCTCTTCAATGTAGTAATTTTTATTATTTTTTAAAGTTTATTCATTTCCATGATTTTCTCAATTCTAGAAATCACACTTTTAAAATTCCCTTATATATCCAGGTTTTCCAAGATTGTGGGATACCTTGTTTTTAGCTGGAAAAATTGATTTTTGCTTTTTTGATTTTGAATTTGAATTTTAGCTGTTTTATCTTGTTTTAATGCTTGTCTTATCATATTTGAATATATTTACTATTACTATATTACATTTACACATGTGAAAACCTAAAAGAAATGAAGAACAGTTATAGGACCTGCATACACTTTCACATATATGTTCATAAAAAATGTAACCTACAAAAAGAGTCATGTGCATCTTATTCTTCAGCTAAACATTAGCAACAGTGTATGAGAGTTACATCTCCTCCAAATGCACCTGTTGTACTCCATCTAGATGTTTTTAGCACTAGAACACATCCTGTGTGAACGTCCTGATCTCTAACCCGTTCACCCAGTACACTGACCCCACCACCATACCAGCGTTCTGTTTTAACATGATGCTGTGTTTGCGTGTGTGTGTAGCTGATGCCATCCCAGGCGTGTTGCGATGGCAGGCCCGTCTGTGGGGTTTGATCACCAAACTGAGAGCTGCACGCGAGGGTCCAGAGACGCCCAACCCGTCCGTCCTCAACAAGAGAGAACGATCAGAGGCCAGGAAGATCTGGGAGAACAAGAACTACGCCATCACACAGGTGAAGCCACGCCAGAGATGACAGTGATGATTATGCCTATATGTTTTAGAAGTACTAAGGTACTTACTAAACGTTTGAGTATTACTAAATATATGAGCGTTGTACCAATAAATGTAGATGGCACCACATATAAACTCAATATTTACTGAAGCCTCCAACCATGACTAATGGTTGGAATTCATTGGTTGGATAATAAAAACTATAATATAAAGAATGAAGTATTGTACTGTATGTTGCTTGCAGAAAACTTGAATCACGATACATATAAGTACTTTTGAATGGAAAGATGCATTTTACCCCAGAATTGGTGTAGTTACAGCATCTAGCAGCAGAGCCTAATGGGTCATGCTAACCAGCCAAACCCTGACCCCTTGATATGACCCCTTTATCTAGTATTCAGGAAACAGTAATGTGCTTCACTCTTTGACCAGTGGGGGTCACTGCATCACCCATCCGTATTTGTTCCATTCTGATAGAATTCCTTTGTTTTTGGATATTTTTGTCTTTGACTAGTTTTTCAAGTACCTATATGTCATGCAGTCTCTCAATTAATATTAAAAAGCACACCTCTTCTTTCCAATCAAAGCAGAATACATGTAAGGTACTCTCTGAACACTGTAAAATATTTCCATCAAATTAAACATTTTTAAGTATAATCAAATTGGCTGTGCAAGTCATTGCAACTCATAATTTTAAATTCTTGTCTAGCTGAATCCCATAGAACTTAACAAATTAAGTTAAAACTGGTTAAATTATTTTTCAATTATTAATTACATTCTGTCATTGATCAATTAGTGTGTGTGTGTGTGTATATATATATTTTTTTTTTTTGAAGAAATTACTTTTTAAATTTACATTCGTGCATTTAGCAGATGCTTTTATCAAAAGCAACTTACAGTAGAGCAACAAAAGCAATCTGACACAGAGCCATCAATATACGTAGTATAATACTTTTATTCACCAAAGACGCATTAAATTGATCAAAAGTGACAGTAAAAACATTTATAAAGGTACAGAAGTTTTCTTTTGAACTTTGTTCAGAAATCATTCTAATGTGCTGATTTACTGCTCAAGAAACATTTCTGATTATTATCAGTGTTGAAAACAGTTGTGCTGCACAATATTTGTGTGGAAGCCGTGATACTTTTTATTTTTCTGGATTCACAGATGAATAGACAGTTCAAAAGAACAGCATCTATTTGAAATTTTGTAACATTACAAATGTCTTTACTGTCACTTTGAATCAAATGCATCCTTGCTGAATAAAAGTTTTTTATTTTTTTTGCTGCTTCATATTTTTGTAAAAACCATGATACATTTTTTTTTCAGGACCCTTTGATGAATAGAAAGTTCAAAAGAATAGCATTTCTTTGAAATAGAAATCTTTTGTAAGATTATAAATGTCTTTTAATGCTTCCTTGATTAATAATAGATTAACTTGTTACTTTTGGAAGGAAACTGAGAGCTGATAGTCTGCTGAATGAAGTTAAGCCATGTTATTCTGTTGACAGGTCACAGGTCACTTCACAGAGGACTTCCTGTTTAATGCGGCCATCTCTCGGCTCATGGGCCTGACCAACACACTCTCAGTAAGTCATCAATGATCAGTCTGACTTTCAGAATAATGTGCTTGGAAATTCAAATGATTGATTGAGCTTTCTGAATTCCCGTGATCTGTTCTGCTTTGGTCTCGTAGCAAGCCTCGTCTCGAGTGGTTCTGCACAGCGTGGAGTTTGAGGAGGCTTTGGCATCGCTCTGTGTGATGGCGGCACCCATGTGTCCACACTTAGCTTCTGAACTCTGGGCAGGTATGACACACACACATCCACCTCAATATTTCACAATACTGAAAATACGGTCATTGTTTACTCATCCTCATGTTCCTTAATGAAGGTAATGGTGGATGGAAACTGTCAAGCTAGGAAAAAACTAATCATCAAAATTTCAAGAAATAAAGGCTTGAAATATTTCACTCTATGTGTAATGAATCTATATAATATATGGGTTTCACTTTCTGAAATGAGTGACAAAAAATATTGACATTTTTCATGATATTCTAAATTTTTTAGATGTAAACAACATAGGCCTATAAACATCTAGCAATGCTATAAAAATATGTTGTGTGCACGCGAGAGGCTCCGGCACGTTCGTGGATATTGTCCTTATCACAGCAGAAAAAAATAAAATATTCTGTCATTTTTGGTCATAAAGATAGGAGTAGGACATCTTTTGAAAACTTGCAAAGGGTTTACTTTTATTTATGTGTACGATCACCTGCTGCAGTGCCCATGAGCTCCTCCAGAGGGCACTCCCACCTTGTTCACTTTCTAACATGGACTTCATTCCCCATAATCCTTTGCACGCACTCATCAGCACTCATTGTTTGCACCTGTCTTGTTAACCCTGTCTGCTCACCATATATAAGCCTGGTTCATTTTGTCATTCATTGCTAAGTCTTGTATGTGTCTGTACTGCAATTCTAAGCCTCGTTTCCTGGTTTTCTCGTGTCTTGGTTCTTGGTTTTGTTTACCTGCCTGTTTTGGATTACCCTTTTGTGTTTTTTGCCCTGTTGTTATTGTTTGGACTGATTGCCCGTGTTATGACCTTTGCCTGTTTTTGGACTTTGATTGTGGATTACTGCATCTGGATTCTCAAACTTCGTGTACCTGTGCAGTTTTATGACAACAATAAGAACAAAGAAAGCAAAACAGGGTGCGCTTTTAGCCATCATGCGGCCATAAAAAATTAAACAAAACAGACAGCCTATTTATTTTATTCTCTGTTTTGTCCTGATGTTTATGCGCATGCAAAACTAAACCTCTGAAAAGACATTTTTTTTATTTTTAACGTGTCACATACACTTAACCACTCTAGTTTAAATTAAATTTAACATTCTAATTTTGTCAGTTAATGGATAGGAAATGAACATCATAATGTTTGAGAATGAGTTTAGTCAGCGGAGAGTAGGTGGTCTTTAGTGACTGTTCGACCGCGTGAGCGTCCACACTACAAGCGCAATCCGGTGTTTTCCGGTGAATGCATTTTCAACTACCTCTGGAAGTGGTCAAAAGTGAACAAGCTCAAAGTGTTTTAGACCCCATTCACACCTGTATTTAGTGTTGTCCACTTGTGTTCGGATTGACGAAAACGCATCTTAATACCAGGTGTAAACAGGGCCTTATCGACGTTGCCACAGTTCTTCTGGATTGAGTCTGTCTCAGTTTGTTCTGTTTCTTCATGTCATTCCAGACGGACTGGATGATGCTCTGTGTGGAGCACTGGCTGCTGTCAGACAAAAATCTCACTGGATTATTACAATTAATGGCAAAAGGAATGTTTGGAAATGTAAACTGATATTTCTTACTGACACACTACAGCAAAAGATAGAAATTACTGGCTTAAACTTAACTTATAAGGACTTGTATATTTGATCACTTTCTTGGTGTTTTTGGAACGTTAAATGAAGCAGCTCTGATGGGTGGATGCTAACCTTCAGGGAAACATGTGCATTTAGCAGCAGCTTATCTAATCCTGAAAGAGTCCTTACACCCTATCATATGCAAGCATGAAGCATTATTCATTTCACTGTTGGTGTGAAAGGGCCTTTACAGATGCCAAAAATATAACTTTTGGGTTTTTTGTTATTTAAAAACAAATAAGCAAGCCCAGCCCAGGTGACTGAATGATGACCATATTCATGTACCATGACATCTATTGATTCTGATGGTAGTGCCATTTACGAATTGGTTTCCTTTCAATTGAATTTGTATAGTTGGTCATGCCTCACAGGAAGATGAATTGTAATGAGAAATTTACTGAATTGCAATTCAATGAAATTCAACACAGGCAGACAACAAAATAATTTTAACATTAAAAAAATATATAATTAATCATGAATATCAGTGTTGAGGAAAGTTACTTTTAAAAGTTATACATTACAGTATCGTGTTACTCCATAACAAGTATGTAATTCTGTTACTTAGTTACTTTTCTGTGGAAGGTAATGCATTACATTACTTTTGCATTACATATTGCTTATTTGTTTTTTTAATAACAAAAAACTCAAAAGTGATATTTTTGGCAACTGTAAAGGCTCTCAGCACAGGGACAGGAGAGGTGTCAGTGAGTAAATGGGAAACAAAGTAGCTTGCGTTACTTATTTGAAAAAGTAACTCAGATATTTTGTTGTAAATATAAAAGTGGTGTGTTATTTTACTAGTTACTTGAAAAAAAGTAATCTGATTACATAACTTATGTTACTTGTAATGCGTTACCCCACTGATGATCTTTCTTCTCTGATATATATATATATATATATATATATATATATAATTATTATTATTATTTTTTTTTTTTTTTTTTGCAGAATATTAGAAGTATTTCGCTAAATGTCACAAAAAATAATTTCTGGAAATACCCCATGCACGTTTTGTATATGAAAACATACTTATGGGTTATTTGTAAATCCAGCATTCGTTTTGCCACATCAAAACTAATTAAATTCAAGAATTTATTAATTTAAAAGATGTTCCCAGTTCAGCTCTGAATGGTGTGAATGGTACTTCTGGTGACAATACAACATTGGTAGTATAAAAATGGATTGTAGTAAAAAAAAAAAAATGACTCGGGATGAAAGTGAATTATTGTGAGCTGGGTGAAAAGTCATGGAAATACTAGAGGTGAGGAAAAAAAGGAAACACTTGGCCCCTGTTGTCCATTCCATGACATCCCGCTATTGTCATACACTCACACACACAATGTGTGTTTGTCCCGTAAGGAAAAATGAACATGTTCACATGCTCTGATAACAGTGACTGATGCTGACCAGTAGATGTGTAACTACGTGACCAAACGTTGCTTGTTAAGGGTATGTTTATCTGTGTGTGCTCATAGATCTAGAGAACCTTCAAGTTCCACAGAAAAATAATAACAGCATGGAACAACACGAGGATAGTAATTCTCATGGATAGTAAAAACTCATTTTTGGGTGAACTATTCCTTCCTCTGCACTTCCTCCTGTACTTGCACACAAGCTAAGGACAAGCGGAAATGCACATCCTTCCTGAAGGCCATGTTGAGGTCAGATGCAGGTTTCTAAATTTGTAGTATTGACCATCGCGTCACCATCGGACGCCTGTTTAATTGCTGGATCATTCTCTGTTTTGTGTTACCAAACAGATTTTGCTTTTACTATTCGGTTTGGTGACACTAGTGGATCTTTAACCCTATAAAGCCTACTGTATCAAGTTGCTAAGGACTGTAAATGATCAAGACTTTGCTGTAAAACCTGTTGCACACGATCTACTACATGCCTTCTGTCGTCTGCTTGAGGCCTTCTAGTATGATTGTACAAACATGCTCGTGCTTCACGTGTCATTTTGCTGTGAAATCTTTACTGAATTGTATCAAAATAAACTTTTATATCGTTAGTAATATTTCAAGATGAACACTTACTGGGCTGAAGCAACTTAGCTTTACTTGATTATTCATGCATAGTTTTTGAGGAAAATCATGTTTAAATGTGAGTCTCAAATATGATCATCATTGTATTGCATTGCATTATATGTTTTGATCATCAAACTAAGCATTTAAATATCATCTTACTAACATTATTGGCAGATATAGAGTGATGACTGATATTTATATCATTTTATGTAACTATCTGCTATACCGATTTACATTATAAGCTATTAGAATTTAGTGTTTTTTATGATTTGTGGCTAAATATCAGCACAAAAGTGCACAAAAATAGCATATTTTTGCTCAGTATGAATAATGAATAATGAAACGGGTGTTTTTTCCTCCTCAATGTATGAGCTCTGTATTCTCACTATATTATATGAGCCATAAAAGCCTGATGTATCAAATATGATACTCAACAAAAACACACACATACAAACTTTTTTTTAATTTTGTTTAAATGTTCAATAAATTGTTCAATTTGCATTTACATTTACATTTTTTGTGACTATTATTTAATATGTCAGACTTTACAGGGATTAGAAGTGACCATAAAAAGCTTTTTTCACGTGCCACAGTGATGTCTTTGAACTACCTTCACTGAGGAGCTTTTCTCAGCGACTATTAATGTGATTCATTTGATTAATTATTAACAAAGTTTATTTGGTGTTCAGACTATGTGACGATTTCCTGAAACCTCTCTCAGGTTTGTCTCAGGTGAGGAATCCTCTAGGAAGTGTGCTGTTGGGGAAGGGAAGTGTCCTTCAGCAGCCGTGGCCCAGTGTGGACCCAGAGTACCTACAAACACCCGACACACTCCAGCTGTCCGTACGGGTATGTCACACACACACATACACACACACACACACACAGAGAGAGAGTACCTACACACCCGACACACTCCAGCTGTCCGTATGGGTATGTCACACACACACACACACACACACACACACACAGAGAGAGAGTACTGAAAACACCCCAAATGCCATGGGTATTGATTTTGTGTTCCTTAATATGCTTTTTTTCACATACAAACACAACCTTCTCTCAAACGAATCGGTAGCTCAGTGTATTTGTGATATTTCTGTGTCATCAGGATGTTTGTATGCAGAATATTCAGCACAGGATGTTCTCTGGGAAAATGCAAAGGGAAAGTGCTTACCTCCTACTTAAAAGCCTGTATTTGAGAACAGGCTCTCTGTAATTTGTGCGTGTGAGAAGGGATTGGCCTCTGAATTTGGCGTGACGAGTGAACGATTATTACAGACTTGAACTATCTGGGGGCTGAAATCTTCTTTCCATGACCGTCTTTTAAGGACTTGGTCAAGTGTGTGTCTCTACTTGCCCTCATGCATCTGTCATTGTTTAAAAATCTTGGTATAAATTGGTATATTTATGCTGCCTTCTAAGCCATCTCGTTTTGTCCAAAATCCAGAAGGCGGCAATCCCAGAATCCACTGATGGCAACAAAATGACAAATGGGAAATGTTGGTTATAAGTATTTTATATACAGCAAAGTATAGATAAAAAAAAGATACTTTTTACTATTTTTCTTAAAATATATGTGTACTACAAATTTCTTGAGCTTGTATTATATTACGTACATTAAAGTATTGTGTTGTTAGCTATTGAAGCCCATTTCCACTATGGACAACATGAGCAATTCTTGCAATTCCAAGTTTATATCTTGCAATTTTGAGTCTGAATTTGCATCTTGCAGTTGAGACTTTATTAGAACTAGAAGTTTGCTTCTCACAATTGCTTTTCATCCATGTGAACAAATCAGAATTGCCAGATGTAAGCTGAGAGTTTCAAGATAAACAACTGAATTATGAGATAAACTTGCAATTTTGAGAAAAAAATAAAAACCTCAGAATTGCAAGATGTAAACTCAAAAATTAAGAGATTTTAACTTAGAATTGTGAGGGGAAAAACATTTAGAATAGTGGAATCTTCTGTTGCCAGATGTTTATTGCCAAAACTCACCTCAACTAGCTCAACTACTGTAAATCAAACTAAAAATTAGATTTTCATGTTTTTTTTTTCCAACCAAACAATTTGTGAAAGTCCACAGAAACAATATTCACCCACATTTTTTGACACACACACAATACTCATTATTTGGCAACAAGGGATAAAGATGTAGCTACCATGACAGTTAAGAAGAAGGATAAAATCATGAATTTCACCTTCAAATAAGGAACAAAATGAGCATGATATTTTACTGCATACTCGCTTGAAAAAGTACTACCCAGAAGGCTTTGCTACACCCGCTCTTTGCACCAGCCTGCCAGTATTTTAGGGAATCCCCTGCTTTGTGCGGGTGGCTGAACTACTTTGGGAGTCATAATAACAGGGATGATTTTCTCCCATGATGCAGTCCAGCTGTCTGAGTGCGTTTCATTTCACCACAGACACACTGAGGAGCAGATGCACCAGAAGACCAGCTTTAGTTTCACACAAACCCACACACAATGCTAACAACAGATGCTAAAGCAAGATATCCACCCTCAAAGGGTTTGTTTAGTCATCCCAAGACATGGCACAAGCACTCAGTATCTCAGCTTCAAAAACGAACACTACTGCTGATCTAGAGGAAACCCGTTGATCAAAACCATTATTTGTCCTCCAGCATGATTGTAGAAGAACTTCTGGGCGCAAAGATGCTTACACACTAGAGAAAGCTCTGACGGAGAATTTTGACATTTTGAGGATGTTTTAAACCAGGCAGGAATAAAGCAAATTGATTTCTGAAAGCACTTTTCTTACATTTTAGTTGCGGTGACAGAGTGTCACTTTTGCAAAGCCTTGAGATTTTCCTCTGTATCCTTTACTTTTTGCCCCATCTTCTTCCTCACCATTGCACTACAATTTTCCATTATAAATAAAGAGACTCATTGCTTTATAATTCATACTTACACATTGTTAAAATTTTGTCATTCATTTTATACATATGATAATGCACGCGCGCGTGTGTGTGTGTGTGTGAGAGAGAGAGAGAGAGAGAGACAGAGTCACATCACAGAAGAGACAGCTGT